TTGCAAGTATTATCTTCTTGAAGATGGGCGGAGAGGGAGAGACATAGAAAGAAAGTATTTTACAGGCTTGGCTATATTTGAATTCCCTTTAAGTTTACATTTGTTTTCATATTAATTGGAATCTGCGGGTTATGCATTTTGCAAAATTTACAAGATGATAATTGAACATGAAGATGCACAGCTGCTTAACAGAGTGTAAAGTGATTTTTTTTTATTTAGTTTTGCTTCCTTGGGTGATGCTGTCAAACATCTACATTGTTGCAGAAATAGGTGTTCCAGACAACTACTGATGGGATACAGAGTCTTCTTTTCAAATAAAGTTCATCTCTTTTTTTATCTAGAGTTACACCAGATGAGAGCCATTCATTCCGTGACTTAAAATGCTGGGTTGCTGGTGCTTACCTTACACCATTTCCCTTCTGTCCAGTCTGCCTCCAAAATACCTTTTAATACTTTCAGTGTCATCAATGATGAAGCATACTGCTTAAGCAAAGTAGGGAAATGCTGTCGATGCAAGTTTTGGAACAGCATGGTTAATGTTCAAACCACTGTGTTTACCTGTCTGGAAGGAGTGGGTGAGGTTCCTTCTTATGCACCGGGTGGGCGTAAACACAGAAATGCTTTTTCCACAACTGCTGTCTTTAGAAATGGGTAATTTGGGATATGAGTGTGAATCAGCAGAGCAGAGTGTGTAGGAATTTCGCCTGGTCAGTGATCTCCTGCCTTTCTTATTTGTCTTTATTCTTGAAAATATATTTATAGGCATGTCTGCTTTAGGTTGGTTGGGTTTTTGTTTGGTTTTGAACTTCTCTGAGTCAAAGAACATGTTTTTTATAGTGACACTGAAGATATCACTGGGTCTCTGACATCAAAGTAATTTTTCCAGACAAACCACTCTATTTCCCATTGGTGAATGTCCTCAGGGTCTTGGTTAGTATAAGCTGTCCCCATTTAAAAAGAGAAATCCGAGAAAAGCAGTTGAACAGAACTTAGGCAATGAACGTGACATGAAAACATTTTGCAGTTGTGTGATGTCCAAGAGGGACTTGTCCAGCTCTGCTGGACACCACCCAGCCACTTCACTGAGAATTGTGAAGAGACCAGGAAGGCTTTCGTGCCTCTTGGCATCTTCTTTCCTTCCTGTAAAAATACCTTGCTGGTATAAAAGTAGTTCTTGTTGTCTGAGCAGTATCTTGGGGAGGGAGGGAACTATTGAGGAAAGCTATATTTAAGGAGCATGAAAAAATTCTACAGAATGGTTTGGTCAAAATAATGATCTTGTCTGAACACTTTGAAGTCCAGTTAATTGTTGTTTTTTTCCCTTTGAAACACAACAAGTTTGTTTTTTGCATGCTTCTTGGGAAAGTGCAGTTAGGAAAAGAGATGGAAGGTAAGTTACTGTCTGCTTGCTATTAGTGTCATCTGGATTTAAATGTACTACTTTTGCTTTGCTGCTTTGAGTTTGATTTGTTATGTTGCGGGCATTCAAAGTAAGCGCTTTGTGAATTTCCAGAAGTGCCTGAATGCATCTGGGGGGTATACCGCTGGGGACAGCGTCATGAGTGTTTATACTTACTTTTTGCGTGCAATCCTTTCCCCTCTCTTTAGAAAATCAATGAGAATTGCAGTGCTTCATCAGCCAGCTCAGCAAGACAACCCCAAAATCCGACAGATTCTGGGCAGTCCAGAAATTGTTCAGCACCAACATCTACAGCAACATCAGATTCCCAAGTAGATGGCAACCGCGTTGTGTCGGATCATGATGCTCAGCCTGCTGCTGCAGGGCCCTGAGATGCGCTCATCTTATCAAATCCAGTGCATGGAATTCTGCTTCTCACCTGGGAAACGCTGGAGTAGGAGCTCAAAAGTAGGACTTCCTTCATCTTAACGATCATAATGTGATGCGGTGCAAGCTTTTAACTATATAAAGAATATCCATATGACTACACAGAGCAACACGAGCAGGGAAGCCAAAAGTTTGGAATTCTTGAGGGAAGTATGTGGCCGGATCTAACGGTAGGAAGAATTCTTGGCTGCTGCGCTAAAGCTGAGTCAAGTGCTATGAGATTTCTTTGCAATCTGTAGGAAGAAAGGAGTTCACTCCTCACTTGTTGAGGCACAGAGTGTCTGACTTGGTTGGATAATTTCCTTCTTTGAATTTATTCCCAAGACAAAATGAAATGACTTTTTAGGAGAGAAACTGAGTTTCCCTGCATAGTCTATTAGAAAATATCAGAGCCGATAAATATAGGAACAGCATGAAACTGTCTCCGTAAAGATTTCTCAGAAACAGAGTAGCTTTAGTAAGCGTATCTTCATATTACGGTGATGGATTAAGTAAAACGCACTCATATTCAAGGAATATGTTTTTGAAGCTAACGTTACCTTGTTTGAGATAAAGGTTTAGTTCTGCAAAGCAAAGATTTTGAACTGGTGTTTTAGCAAAATGGAAAAGCCGGAGGAAGGCTTCTGAAGAAGTGAACCTCTGCGCTTGCAGCCCTTGGGCATAGGTTGTGTGCGTTTGGGTAATTTTAGGTTTGATGTTGTCTTGAGACAAGAATTTTTGATCAGGATTGCACAACCTGAGATTGATCAAGGGTTTCAATGGACACACCGTCTTTTTGGGGTTTTATTTCATCATCTATACAATGGTTTATTTAATGCAGTGTAGTTACTGTGGTTATTTATTAAGAAAACAGTAAGCTTTAAGTGCCTAGGGAAGGTGGGGGGTAGGGAGGAATCACCTAAAAATCTTAATGATTAGGATTGCAGGGGCAAAGTTGTTGACGCAGAAATGAAGTAGAGTGGACTTTAGGAACTTACTTTGCCCAATGTCAAGACACTGGAAGACTTTAGATTCTGTTTTGTTATGCTTTTCAATATTAACTGCACCAGCTCGCTTGCTGGTGCATGGTGAAAATTGCTGCTGGAGGGATATCCTTGGGCTCAGGGAGGAGCCGGGGGGGGGGGGGGCTGTTTTGGCCCATTTGCTTACATTAACAGCTTGTTCCTGGGAGATTCTGAGCACCCGGCTTCTCCGGGAGTGTGTAAGTATGCTCAGCCCTCCTTGTGTCAGCTGTGTGTGATGTGTCAGGCCTTCCACAGGGAAGGTGCTGCTGGGGGACTGTACAGTGATCCAGAGGCAAGATGAGTGGGAGCGCAGGGTTGGGCAGAGGAAGGTGGCAGCAGCTAAGCAGCAGGACTGGGGGGGGGCGGG